TTTCTTTCTTTTTTTTTTTTTTTGATGTGTGGTTAGATGAATCTCAAAGCCTATTTTGTTGGGAGTTGGTGAGATGAGAGTTACCTAGACCTTTAAAATTGGTTTCCTTGAACATGAGAATTCTGGGTAGTTTTAAGATGGTGGTATAATTAGGTTTGGCTGAAATCAAGATGATTCTGTTCAAATGCCGGAATTCTCCAAGTCTTCCTCTCTTAAAGCCAACATCCCTTTCTTTTCCCCTTTTCTCCCCAGTCTTTTTTACTCCATTTTTCCTCTTTTTTTCTTGATAAACTTTGCCCCAAGCCCATGGGTCTCTGTGTTTTCCCATAGCACGATGGTAGCATTGAGTTGATTGGATGGAAGACATTGTTCATGCCAGCCAGGCTTCCCGAACACGGCCTCTCTGGGAACTCTAGCTCAGCCCTAAAGCAGTAGTCAATCCACTTAGTATGCAACCAGCCATGGTTCCCAAAATCCACTGAGAATTCAGAATTCTCTGTCTTTTCACAGCAGTACCGACAGCAGCGTGACCGAGCCATCACCCTGATAGCTGAACCACCCTGAACCACGCTTCCACCCTGAACCACCCTAGGAGGTGCTAAGTCCCCTCTGCCGCCCTGTAATCCACACCTGCTCTGCCCTTCTTTCCTCGTCTGGGAACCCGTAGCCTCAGAGATGCCGTCTTAACCCCCAGTCTCCCCAGGTTTTGTCCTGCACCCTATGTTGCTCAGTCGTGTCCAGCTCTCTGCAACCCCATGGACTGCAGCACAGCAGGCCTCCCTCTCCTTCACTGTCTCCCAGAGTTTGCTCAGATTCATGTCCATTAATCTGGTGAAGCCATCCAACCATCTCATCCTCTGCCACCCTCTTCTCCTTGCACCCCAATCCCACACTTAATCCCTTCCTTCGTGGCGGATCACCTTTATCTTTAGGTTAGACTATCTCTTTTTCCCACGGTTTTTCTTTTTTCAAATATTTATACTTATGTGTTTATTTGGCTGCACAGGTCTTAGTTGTGGCAGAGAGAGCTTTAGTTGCAGCATGCGAGCTCTTACTTGTGACATGTGGGACCTGGTTCCCTGACCAGGGATGGAACCTGGGCCCCCTGCATTGGGAGCTCAGAGTCTTAGCCACCTCTATGGGAGTCCTTCCCACTATTTTTCTTAATATTAATATACTGCCATTCACCTCCAGGATTCCCCAAGGTTGAAGAGGCCTCTCACCAACTCTCGCCTCACAAGACCCGTGCACACAAGGCTTCAGTCTTCCCCTCCATCCTCCGGTCATTTCTCCCCTCTTTCTCTCAGGCAGCCCCATCCCCCTACCTCCCCTTACAAACCTTCCTATTGTAAAGTCAGCCCAGGGAGAGGAGAGTGGGTTTCAAGACAGAAAACCGCACGGTCTGAGTTCATGTAGGTCAGTTTTTCTCATTCTCATAACATCACTGGGTTACTTTAATTTTTGTGAGACTATCAATCATAAAGGTTGCTTTTTCAGCTCTGGTTCTGTGCTGTGTAACACACTCCCAACTCTGGCTTTATTTTTAAAACAATCCGTCCCCCTAGGAGCCCAGGGCTTAGGTGTCCCAGCTCACAGAACTGTCCGCGGGGGAGCGTGGGCGCTGCCATCCAGCCTGTCACCGGATTGGCAGCTCCAGGCTGGCCCTTCTGCTCCCAGCACACGTTTCAGGGATAGACTCGGGGTCATGGCCTGCTTTGGCTCAAAGGTCATGGCGCCCAGCGCCCCCAGAGCAGCTGGCAGCCTTGCTGCACAAACTGAGACCTCTTATGAGCCTCCGTAGCACAGATATTTTTGGAGAAAATGCCAGGGGTCTGTTTGAAGGCCCTGCTGCTGCCAAGCAACCAGATTTCCAGAGTTAACGCTTGGGATTAATGACGTGCCCTGTTTATCAGCCCGGCCCTTTGTTCCCCTGCGGTCCTTCATGAGCTTTTCAACAACTGTTTCTGAAAGCGATCTCTCCCCAGCTGATGCTTTTAATACTCCCTAGCAAAGAGGCGGACACGACTGAGCGACTAAGCACACACGTGGGACCACCAGGGACATCCTAACACCGCAATCTGACGCTGTGTTTTACCCTCTTTTGTACCGATTAGTACACATAGCCTGTATCCAGTCTCCTTATGATGCAACCAGAAGATGTTAACTACAGCAAAATCTTCTCTGAGACACAGCCTTTCTTGTTTCTTCATGTTCATTGGTTCTCAGTGTCCTGCTTGTTCCTGACCACGCTTCATATCAGAACTCACGCATCACCTGCATCCTTGCTTAAACGTGACAGAGGCCACTTGTAGGCTTTTCTTTTCATACTATCAAAGACTTTTGCTTGAATAAATCATCATTATCCCATCCGTGTTGAAAAGTGTTCCTTTGCCTGAAGTTATTTGAGTGGTTTCTGTCGGGACTTTGTTAAGAAACAACCCAGAGACAATTAACCCCAGGTAGGGGTAAGGAAGGAGTGTAATTTGGGTTTTCTTCCTTCTTTGGCGATCTGAGACACTGCACCGTGTACCTGACTTTCTTCCGTCTTTGTTTTTTATCTTCAACCCACAGGCTCAGCTGTCTGGCAGCTCATTGCATCCTTCCTGAGGCTCCCAATCTCGGGGACTCACTGCATCGTCGGGGCCACCATCGGGTTCTCCCTCGTCGCAATTGGTACCCAAGGTGTGCAGTGGATGGAGCTGGTCAAGATTGGTAATTGGCATTTTCTTTTACATATAAGAAGGAAAGTTAACATTTTCTAGAGTAAGTGTTATTAAAAGTTACCATGATGTTTTTTCCTTTAAATGTTCATGTATGCTGATAATACGTTTTCCCTTAAAATTTCTGGTAGCAGAGATGGTGAACTGTCACGCAGTTGTTTTTCTTTAACTCTAGACGCTCTTTATCAAATGCCGCATTGTCATTCAGCTTTGAAAACCAGTGTCTTATCTGCTGTTCACAGGAAGTTAAGAAATTTACCTGGTTGAAATCAGTCTGTAGGCAGAGAAAAACCTGGGGCCCTTGTCCAGGAGTCAGAGTCCCTGGTGATGGGCAAATGCGGAAGTGAGATGCTTACCTCCACTGCATCCAGGAGTCCCCCCGCAGTCTACCTGATGCTTCTTCTGCATTGTGGGCTGCCCAGTGGGGACTGTTTAGAGAGGCCTGACAGCTTGCTTCCTGCCTCTGACTTCTTCAGCTAGAGGAAAATCCATCCAACCCCTTAAGTACCCACATGGTCATTGCAAAAAACACAGATCTCTCACCCACCTCCATTGTTTTACGAATCATAGTGGCCTCAGGAACCCCAGCCTGAACAGACCCCTGACCTGCCAGGCAGAACACAAATGGCCAGAGAACTCACCTGATCCCAGGAAACTCAGATGAACTCCCCAGAAACTCACCTGAGATCGTGGGAAGCTTGCCCGAGATCTCCAGCTCCTGAAACGGTGGTTCGATTCCGGCTACACTTTAGAATTACCTGGGAGAGCAATAAAGATATCACTGCCCAGACCCCATTCCACACCTTTGAAATCAGAGTTCTGCAGCTGGAGCCAGAGCGTTAACTGGTTTTTGAAAACTCCCCGCAGATGTTTCTAGTGCGTGACCAGAGGCTGCAGGGTGACCGTGTCAGGCTGGCCTTGGAATATGAAAGGGACGGGGCTGCCTTTTCAGTGACCCCCGCAGCTGGCATAGGAAGGGGCTCGGTGGGAATCAGAGGAACCCTCTTCAGAGGCCAGAGCTGGGGTGGCCGCGTGCGTGGTGGGCTGGAGGAGTTCGTGCTTGTCTGGGTGGGGTTTGTGTCTGAAGGTGGTGACCCCCGTGTGGAGGTCACTGGGTTTGTTGAGTTCTGAGTTAAGGTGAATAATTCTAGGAATGTTTGTTAATGTAAGTGCTGTATGTTAGTTAACCGCTTTTTATGTAAATAGGACCTGAATGATGTAGAATTTTAACATTCATTAGATTTTCTTTTAATTATTCAGTTGCTTCTTGGTTTATATCTCCACTGTTGTCTGGTTTCATGTCTGGCGTGCTGTTTGTACTGATCAGAATGTTCATCTTAAAAAAGGTAAGCAAGTTTATTATCTTTTTAGTTAAGTTTTAGATCTAAGTTTGGTTCTGCTCAATAAAAATTAATAGTGAGAGGGCTCAGGAAAGTTAAGAAATTTACCTGGTTGAAATCAGTCTGTAGGCAGAGAAAAACCTGGGGCCCTTGTCCAGGAGTCAGAGTCCCTGGTGATGGGCAAATGCGGAAGTGAGATGCTTACCTCCACTGCATCCAGGAGTCCCCCCGCAGTCTACCTGATGCTTCTTCTGCATTGTGGGCTGCCCAGTGGGGACTGTTTAGAGAGGCCTGACAGCTTGCTTCCTGCCTCTGACTTCTTCAGCTAGAGGAAAATCCATCCAACCCCATAAGTACCCACATGCTCATTGCAAAAAACACAGATCTCTCACCCACCTCCATTGTTTTACGAATCATAGTGGCCTCAGGAACCCCAGCCTGAACAGACCCCTGACCTGCCAGGCAGAACACAAATGGCCAGAGAACTCACCTGATCCCAGGAAACTCAGATGAACTCCCCAGAAACTCACCTGAGATCGTGGGAAGCTTGCCCGAGATCCCCAGCTCCTGAAACGGTGGTTCGATTCCGGCTACACTTTAGAATTACCTGGGAGAGCAATAAAGATATCACTGCCCAGACCCCATTCCACACCTTTGAAATCAGAGTTCTGCAGCTGGAGCCAGAGCGTTAACTGGTTTTTGAAAACTCCCCGCAGATGTTTCTAGTGCGTGACCAGAGGCTGCAGGGTGACCGTGTCAGGCTGGCCTTGGAATATGAAAGGGACGGGGCTGCCTTTTCAGTGACCCCCGCAGCTGGCATAGGAAGGGGCTCGGTGGGAATCAGAGGAACCCTCTTCAGAGGCCAGAGCTGGGGTGGCCGCGTGCGTGGTGGGCTGGAGGAGTTCGTGCTTGTCTGGATGGGGTTTGTGTCTGAAGGTGGTGACCCCCGTGTGGAGGTCACTGGGTTTGTTGAGTTCTGAGTTAAGGTGAATAATTCCAGGAATGTTTGTTAATGTAAGTGCTGTATGTTAGTTAACCGCTTTTTATGTAAATAGGACCTGAATGATGTAGAATTTTAACATTCATTAGATTTTCTTTTAATTATTCAGTTGCTTCTTGGTTTATATCTCCACTGTTGTCTGGTTTCATGTCTGGCGTGCTGTTTGTACTGATCAGAATGTTCATCTTAAAAAAGGTAAGCAAGTTTATTATCTTTTTAGTTAAGTTTTAGATCTAAGTTTGGTTCTGCTCAATAAAAATTAATAGTGAGAGGGCTCAGGAGGATAATTATTAAGGCACAGTCCCCGAAGTTGGAATCAGACATTGTGATAAAGCAGGCGGCAGACTTGGTGGGGTGCCCAGGGGCCCCCCGGACCTGCGCTCAGCGCAGGTGTCCTACCCTATGGCTTAGTTCATTGGTCAGCATTCCTGGGCCCTATGCTCACACCTCAAAAAGGAAAGACAATTATTTTGTGACCGGTAAACAGAACAGAGTGAGATAGTGTTGCGATTTTGAAACTGACCAGCACTAAAAACAACTGGAGAATTTTTTTACCCAGATGGAAGGTATTTTCTGTTTTCTAATGGAGAAGGGAAGCATGAGACACTGTTTGTTTGTTTTTTTCCCTGTCCTTGAGGACAAGATAAAAAGAAGGAACTACACCTATGGGGGTGCATTTTTTTTAATCAAAAATAAAATGAGATGAAAATGAAAACTTACTGAGATCAGTATTCTAGGGGAATGTCAGGGGTGGTTGTAGCGCTTTATAAGCCCTGCCGCTTGCCCTTGGTCACTCGGCACACGCCAAGCACATCGGACGTGGCTGCCTTGAGCTGTCCTTACGCGGCTCTTCTTTGAGTCAGGCTGAGGTCGCTTGGGTAATCGCACACTGACCATGCCTTCTCCGGGGCTCCCGCTCTGCTAGGATCTGTTAGCATCTTGGCAGGTGCCTGGTAGCCTCCCGCGCTTGTATTTCTGCTGCCCCGGGCATCCCTGCCAGGCGGGCTCCTGTCCCTCCTCCGCCCCCAGGTGTCCCTTCCTAGGAAGCCATGCCTCCTGCCCCAGCTTCCACCGGGCTCCTCCCTCTGTGTTCCCACAAGCTCCCTGCCTTCTCATCACTGCACTCTCACATCGTCGTGCGGGGGTTTATTGCCTGCTTGGCTCCCTGTTCACTCTCTGTGAGATCTGTTGAGCATGGAAACCATGACTCCCTGTTCACATGTGTAGGCAGCGCCCAGCTCTGCCCAGCCCTTCCGAGCTGCCGGCTGAGTGTCTGTTGAGAGCGAACAAAGGCTGCTTGGATGGGTGACAGGTGATGAGTGGATGGAAGGAAGAAAAGAAAGGAGGGAGGGAGGGAGACGGGAGGAGGAAAGGAGAAGGGGCTCAGTGAGACAGCTGTCCTCTTGTGGTAAGAATAGGTTCTCTGGGGACTTCCCTGTGGTCCAGTGGTTAAGAGTCCCTACTTCCAATGCAGGGGTTGAGGGTTTGATCCCTGGTCAGTTAACTGGGTTCCTGCATGCCTTGTAGCGAGGCAAAAAAAAAAAGAGTAGGTTATTTAAGAAAACATAAGGTGATTCAGTTACAGCACACAAACAGAAGACTTTACACCTTCACAAGTTACCAGTTGGGAGTCTATCCTTAGCAGCTGTTGTCCCCAGAAAAGAACAGTTTGGGAGCAGAGGTGGTAGGCATGTGAGCATGTGGGCGTTCTGTTCTTGGTTCAGCCCGGGTTCCTGTCCTGGGTCCATGGCAGATCAGGGGACGGAATGCTCCTCTCAGGCCCCTGTCCACCCCTTCTTACCTGCCCTTCACCTGCCTGCCTCTGACCCTGGCCGGGACTCCCATGCAGCTGCGTCATCTCCCACCCCGGCTCTCAGCGCTCCTTACATTTCACTTCCATTCGCTCCAGCCTCCTGACGAGTGCTGGGGGCCACTAGAGACATTCCAGGCGGGCTCTTGATGAGCTTATATTCTGCAAACGGGCTTAATTTCTACGCATTTGCATTTGACAGTAGGAACCTTTGAGATAGTCTCTCCTGATCCTGACTTCCATAGCTCACATCAGGAGGAGGGGATGGCAGCCCGCCCCAGTATTCTAACCTGGAGAACCCCATGGACACAGGGGCCTGGTGGGCTACTCCATAAGGTCAAAAAGAGCCGGACACAGATTACCGGCCCTGACTTCTGTAGCTCTCATCGATGTTCAGACCTAAAAAAAAAGAGAGAGAGAGATGTTTAGACTTGATTTTCCTTGTAATATGGGTAGGTAATAGATTTATATCAATGTGTAAGAGTGTTTTACACGGTCATTAGAAATTAACCCCTTTGTGAATTATTTAAGCAACACCTACGTGCGAGTGCTGTATTGAGTTCCCAGTTCATATTTTTGCTTCAGAATCCTCTGTGGATCCAAACCCTGAAACTCTACATTTTTCCTCTCTAAACTCTAAATTTCTAATATTCTCCCAGGTGATATTTTGCCTTAAACACATGCAGTACTGTTCTTGTTGAAACGTTAGATTTAGGAAATGTTGTACCAGAAGCCTCAGGTTGTTAAAAAATATGTTTTCTTAGAGAGCCCACAGTTCTTTTTAGTGTGACAGTTGAAGGTAAAATGCTCCACCTTGTGAAAAGATTTGGAAACTCGTAGCACGTGGTTCTGTATTTACTTTAGGTATTTCAACACAGCAAACGTGTGTCACAGAGTCACATAAAATCTAGTAGTAATGCCGTGGTGTTGCAGTCACTTTCTCAGGGTGTCCTCGGAGGGTCAGGCCTGAAAATATTTGTTGACAGTGGACTTTAGGGTGCCAGCATGCACATAATTAGAAGAGCAAGTGCCCTGGGTTCTGAAGGGGAGGCCGGCTCTGGGCTTGGGTCCTGGGAGCTGCCTCACAAGCAGCCCTTCCCTGTTCCCAAGTGTCCCGCCAGCCCACGTGGTCCCTGGGCTTTTGGTGTGTCTGCTGGTCCCCGTGGCGGCCCTTTAAGACAGCGCTCGTGGGAGGGACGGCCCAGGCCAGCGCTGGGTCCGGGGGTGCACACAACCCCAGGCCAGGCTTTCCCCGAGCAGCCTTGCATGTCATCTTGCCCGAGCCGCCTGCAGACACCCCCTGGAATCCTGACCTGACCCGTTATCTCCTTACCCCGCAGGAGGACCCCGTCCCCAACGGCCTCCGGGCGCTTCCCGTGTTCTACGCCGCCACCATCGCCATCAACGTCTTCTCCATCATGTACACCGGAGCCCCAGGTAAGAGCCCTCGGCAGGCGGGCGTGTGAGAGTCCAGCCTGGGTGGTGGACTTGGGCCTGGCGCTGTTGCTGGCCGCCAGCCAGAAGCACTACCCATAGCCATCACGGAGCAGAGCGAAGAGTAGGAGGTGCACTTACTTGTTTTACATATTCAAGAGAGGTGTGAAATAGAAAAGCCAGAGACTTGGGTTAAAAAAAAAAGACAATTCAATTCCCCTTCCTGGTGCTGAGTCAGGACATGATATGCCAGCCCAAACCTCTCTGAGCTAGGGGTCTGGGGGGCGGGGGGAGAGGGGCGCACTTGTAAACAGTAGGTCCTCACCCCCGGACAGGGCTGGGGGGCTGTCAAATACCCACCTCCACCCCCCAGAACTCATCAGACCAGAAGTCCAGTCACTAGAGCTGTGCTTTTCTTCCCCCCCACATACTGAAACCAGTGATACTTTTCAGAATTATTCCTTTTTTTCCAGTTCTGATGGCTTCTGTTCTTTTTTTCCCAAGGGCTTGGGGGGGGGCCTGGTGAAAAGTCCCTTTCTTTAACATTTTCAGTAGGTGAAACACTTTCACGCAGTATTGGTATTTGCACACATCTGCATGTTGATGAGCTCGTAGGGGCCTCACTGAGCATCTCCGTTCGAGTCTCTGCGGAGAGGATGGTGCAGAGGGGTGCCCGTTTCTCTCTGGGATGGGCCTCCTATGGCCGGATCCTGACACACCCATCATCCTGGGGGCGTCCGGTCAGCAGAGATGCTCGCGGTGGTGTTTTCCTTCTTGCTAACGTCCATCGCTGCTAAGTCACATCAGTCATGTCCAACTCTCTGCGACCCCATAGACGGCAGCCCACCAGGCTCCTGTCCCTGGGATTCTCCAGGCAAGAATACTGGAGTGGGTTGCCATTTCCTTCTCCAGGGGATCTTCCCAATCCAGGGATCAAACCCGGGTCTCTCGAAATGCAGGCAGATTCTTTACCATCTACATTCTGGTTATATGTTTGTGTACTTCACTCTTTCTGAAAGATTCTTTTTAATTTTATTCCTTTTTTTTTTTTTCTTATTTTTGGCTGCGCTGGGTCTTCATTGCCGCACGTTGGCTTTCTCTGGTTGCGGCGAGCCAGGGTTTCCCTCTCCTGGGTTTGTCACTGTGCTGGCCTCTCGTTGCGGAGAATGGGCTCTGGGCGCACAGGCTTCAGTCGTTGTGGTGCTTAGCTGCCCCGAGGCAAGTGGGATCTTCCCAGACCAGACCCAGCACACCCTGCGTTACAGGCGGATTCTTTACCACAGAGCTACCCGGGACGTGCCCCACCCTGCTGTGATTCATAGCCCTGCGTAACCTTCTCCTCTGGCGTGTTCACTGCATTCAGAATATGGCTGTTACAGCTTTGAAGAGTTGAGGTCAGGGCTTTCAGGTTTCAGGGGTGGGGGTGGAGGGAGCGCTGAAGCATCCCAGCTGCTTTAAGTTACATGAAAAGCGCAAGGTAAGCATCACGGCGAGCTGGAGAGAGGTGAGACCCTCGCCTCAGATAGCAGCAGCCTGTTGCCCCTGCAGGCTTGATCATTCAGAGTATGAAGTATGTTTGTCAAAGGCTGTTTTCATGATCCATTTTTAAAGGCCCAAAAAACAGAAGCAGAGGCAGAGAAAAAGTAGTTCTACAGTGTGAAGGCCATCTCACCCCAAGTCTGTGCTGCTCACGAAGCTTTCGCGTAGTGCCGGGCGGGCCCCGGAGCATCAGGTGGGAGGTCACCTGGAGCAGAGAGGTGTCCACCCGAGCACTTGTTCTTGGTTTTACTCGGCTCTCAGAGCGCAGGTGAGCCGAGCAGAAAGACGAGCAGCCGTTGACGACCAGACACCTCTGGCCCTAGTGATATAAGAGATTAAACAAATGAAGGTTGGGGGCCTTTGTCAGACAGAGTCCTAGAAATGGGAACTGGGGGAAATAAGAGTCATTTCTTTCTAAATTCTGCACTTTTTTTTTTCTAGCCTCTATTTCTCTCACTCCCTGGCTCTTGATCTGAATGTCAGAAGACCACAAATGTATGATTTTTATTAAAATTTGACTTTTTCTAGACTTACCTATTTCTTCCATCACTTCTTTTTCTCATCTTTTAAAAAAATATTTTAATTGTTATTTTTTATCTTTTGGCCATTGCTTAGTTCCCCGCCCAGGGATCAAACTTGTGTCCCTTACATTGGACGTGTGTAGTCTTAACTGCTGGACCACCAGGGAAGTCCCTCTTTTTCTCATCTTTTTTTTTTTTTTTTTTCCTCTTTTTCTCATCTTTTGCTGCAGTTTTATTGCAAATTTTCTGGAAGAATCAGATTACTAAGAGATTAACTTATGCTAGAGAAATGAAACTATAAAATGAAAGAGGCAACCAAGGATAATATAAATACTTCATAGAGAAGTTTTGAAGAATAATAATAAATAAATGGTTTTATTGAGCTGAGTTTTAAATGAATTAACTCTTCTAGGAAATCGGTAAGATTGCCAACACCTCCTGACAGGTGGGAAACAGGCACAGTGAAGCTCAGCCTATGGCTGAGTGCCAAGGCCATATAGCTAGTAAGGTGCAGGGCAGACTTGAAAGTGGGCAGCCTGGTTCCAAGCCCCTGTTAGGGTATTCCACTGAAACATGATGGGGCATGGGTCAGACACCCAGCATCTAGTCCTTGGTCCCTGATGTCACTGTAAATGATGATCAGAATACATCAGCCTCATACATCCTTTCCTTTCTCTTCACTCTCTTTAAAGATAGCTTCCAGAGAACAGCATTGAAACATGTATATTATCTAGGGTGAAACAGATCACCAGCCCAGGTTGGGTGCATGAGACAAGTGCTCGGGCCTGGTGCACTGGGAAGACCCAGAGGGATCGGGTGGAGAGGGAGGTGGGAGGGGGGACCGGGATGGGGAATACATGTAAATCCATGGCTAATTCATTTCAATGTATGACAAAAACTACTGTAATGATGTAAAGTAATTAGCCTCCAACTAGTAAAAATAAATGGAAAAAAAAAAAAAATAAAGATAGCTTCCAGGGAGTTCCCTGGCTGTCCAGTGGTTAGGACTTGGTGCTTTTACTGCCAGGGCCTGGGTTCACTCCCTGGCTGGGGAACTAAGATCCCACGAGCCATGAAGCTCAGCCAAAAAAAATGAAAAGGCTTCTAATATATTTGGAAATGATGTGGTTTTGTATCTATTTAATATCCAGGTAGTGTGAAGAGGGTGGCCGCCCCTTTGTTTGGTAATGTCGGGGAGTCGGTGCGAGAGCCTTGGCGATGGGTACTCGCCTAGGAACACAGATGACGCTCCCCGTGTTGGCGGAGCCTCCTCTCCCCGAGCCCCTGGCCCTCCTAAAGGAGAGATGGGTGGGCAGGGACGGCTGTGAGAGGGAGGCCACGTGACAGGAGGTGGCGAGGGCAGGGCGTTGAGCTCGGGGGCTGCTCACGACAGCGCTTTCTACGCTCGGGGGTCGGGGGGCGGTTTCCTTCACTACCGTCTGTCATAAATGCCACCTCTCTTCAGCCTTATGTCTCCAGCATGTCCTGAGTCAGCGCGTCTCTCTCTCCCCACGCACGCCGCCGTGGGAGCTTTTCCTTAGTTGAAGTTTGGGGATGAGGAGCTTTGCATAGGGAAGGAAGGAGGTCAGGACTGACGGTCCAGCCAGAGTCAGAAAAGGACTTTGCTGAGGTCTTGGCTCTGGGGAGTGTTTCTAGAATATCCAGTAGGTGAGTCCAAATCCTATTTTTATTTAAACATTGAAGGTTAACTTAGCCCTTGAAACTAAGACGTTAATTCCATCCTGTCTCCCCATGCCGGCTTCTCTGCTGTCCACCTGGGTCGTCTGTGGCCCTGGTGTCCTATCTGGGGACAAGTGAGCCAGGAAGAACCACCTCCACACGACTCAGTCCTCTGACTCTCTCACAACTTGCCGGCCTTTCTGCCGATTTTGAGATTTAATCTCCCTAGTCCTTTTCTTCCTTAAAACATTTCCATTCAATGTAAGGGGCCTTAGAGATAAGAGGAAAGAATGAAATGTTCTAATAAAGAGTGGCGGCATCAACCTAACCCTGTCGCAGCTTTCAGAGACTCATAAGTGGCGCTTTTCTGCGTGGAGTTGAATCCGGTGGGTCCCCGTGAGCTGAGTCACGAAGCCCTGGTTTGACTTCCTCCCCTCCTCCTCCCTAAATTATTTTGAAGTTGTTTATATCTCAGGCTTAGTTTGATTTGTTTTACTTTGCGTTTGACGTGACTTTCTCAGAATTCATCCTTATACTTCAGAGACTGAGTTAGCACTCTTCAAAAATTGTCTTTGCTTTTTTGTCCTTAAAAAAATAATTCACAAGAAGCAAAAATAACTTGAGGCAATAAAGTGGGTTGGGTTGGATAAATCACTTGGGTTGGGTTGGATACAAGCCTGAAGTTCATTTTTGATGAAGGGCTTCAGCTGGATGGGACCTGGGTTTTGTTCTGCCTTTCTAGAACGAATGCTGAGTGAGGTTCATGGCACATGACTTTGTGGAGGCAGAGCAGATGAGCTAATGACGCTTCCCAAGTCCAAGTGTGGTCCCTGCACCAGGAGCACTGGCATCACGTGATCACTTGTCAAAAATGCAGATTCTTAGGCTTAGACCCGCTGAACCAGAAACACAGCACAGCAGTCAGGGTTTACAGGACAGAGCACTCGGGGTGACCTGGTGCTTGTGCGTTTGGAGGGTCCCTGCTCTAACCACCTCTTTACCTATTGTTGTTCTTCAGTTGCTAAGTTGTGTCCGACTCCTCAGAACCCCATGGACGGCAGCATGCCAGGCTTCCCTGCCCTCCACTATCTCCTGGAGTCTGCTCAGACTCATGTCCATTGAGTCGGTGATGCTATCCCACCATCTCATCCTCTTCTGCCCTCTTCTCCTCTTGTCCTCAATCTTTCCCAGCATCAGGGTCTTTCTTAGTGAGTCGGCTCTTTGCATCAGGTGACCAAAGTTGGAGCTTCAGCTTCAGCATCA